TGGTACCAGGGATTGAACCCAGTGCTTAACCACTGGGCCACATCCCCAGCCCTTTTAATATTTTATTTAGAGGCAGGGTCTCACTGAGTTGCTTAGGCCCTTGCTAAGTTGCTAAGCTGGCTTTGAACTCGTGATCCTCCTGCCTCAGCCTCCTGAGCTGCTGGGATTCCAGGCATGTGCCACCGTGCCTGGCTTCTAGTTCGCTCATGTTTGATGGAACACTGTGGGAGATTGAGGTGGCATGGTCTCTACAGATGACCAGTCTCCAGCCAAGATGGACATGCACGGGTGTGTGATCCTGTCCGGATTTGGTCAGAAAAACAGAACCTTGGTAAGTGGCATGAAAGTGGGGTGTATAATGGGCAGTTGGGGGCTGGTGAGACGTCTGTGGAAAGCCAAGGAAGGTTCTGGGACTGGCAAGTCTGAGCCATGGGAAGAAAGCCTGGCTGTGGCATGGGGAGGGGGCAGGGCAAACTGCACACCAAGGGCAGCCGCAGGGACTCACCAAGCAGGACTGCTTTCTGCCTTGAAATTCAACAAGCCAGGACCCACAGAGCGGCTGGGGACCTTCACACCCTGACCAGGACGCGGGGACACTGATGAGGTCGGCCTGGTGGGGACAAAGGGATCTCAAGCCAAGGGGAAGGGAGGGCTTCCTGGAGCCCGGAGCCCCACAGTCCCGCCCTGTAGAGCAGGATGGCTCCCGCTTGCCTTTTCTCTCCCAAATTTCTCTTGTGGTCTATCCATGCTTCCTGGGACCCTCCAGGAAAAGACCCCTGGGAATCAGGGGTCCAGTCTGGCCAGCTGGGCACATCACAAAGTGCCCAGAGAACCTTCCTTGCTTGTAAGGAAGTGAAAAGAACTGAAAGGTAGGGGGCATTTATTTGGGGCCAGATACTGTGCTGATGCTTGTTGACTCACCGACAATCTACGGGCGAGGCGAGGTCCAGAAAGAAAGGGCCCGCAGGGAGGCCCGAGTGGTCACTGCAGAGGAACCCACATCCTGAGAGGCTCTGTCAGGATGTGGGTTACCTTGGGGGGCAACCAGGTACCAGAGGAGGCAGAAGCTGGACCAGGACAGACGGATGAGATGCAGGTGTCCAAGGGCCACTGGTGACCTTTTGAATGTTTATAAGTCATTTGAAAAGACACGTGTCATTGCTCTGAAGTTTTTCATCACTGATGTACAGTTAATAAACGTAACTGGGTTTAGATTGATAATGTTTGAGGTAGTAATTTGTCTTTTYGTTTTCCTTTACCCCTGTTCCTTCAAGAGAGAGCAGGTAACTATGTTTTTGGTTTTTGCCCAACGAAGAGTTTTGTAGCAAGGCAAAGAAGTTGTTCCAAACATTTCTCTTTCTGCCTTCTTGAATTTTTCTTTTTCTGGTACTGGGTACTGAACCCAGGGGTTCTCTACCCTGAGTTGCATCCCCAGTTCTTTTCGTTTTTTTTTAAATTTTATTTTAAGAGAGGCTCATGGTAAGTTGCTGAGGCTGATCTCAAACTTGCCATCCTCCTGCCTCAGCCTCCTGAGTAGCTGGGATCACAGGCACCTGCCAGTGCTTCTGGATGATTTTAGTCCTCATCCCAAAGAAGGAGGAATGCAATTTGTGGGTCCTGGAGCATGAGGAGTAGCAGAATCCCGGGGAGTATTTATATGGGCAGATGGCCAATGTCACAAAAGATCCCAGGAGACAGGAATTAGTGTTGTCTCCACTTTACAGATGAACACTGAGGCAAAATGGTGCCGGGAACGGGATGAGACGTACCCGTGGCATTGTGGAGGCACGTCTCCTGGAGATGCTCATCCGTGGATTCTGRTCCTGGGTATCTGTCTAGGCTGGAGGTCTCACTTTTCCTAGAACCAGAATTACTCASGATGTAAGTTTCTCCATCTTGTTTCCTCCTCTGATTCTTATTTAAATTAAAGGGTACAAAGAGTAGGATGGATCATTCTGGAAAGCTTAAGTTTCATCTAAATGTTATGTGTGTGATCCAAGTCGAGGAATTATGTCCTCTGACTCACATTTATCTTGTGGTCACTTTGGGCCCTCAGATTCACTTTTTTTCAACAACTGCTCATGTTTGCCTTTTTTATTTTTGTTTCCTTAGATGACTGGCTAGTAACCTTCCATGGACCAAGCATGGGCGGGGCATACGTGTCATGAAATAAAACAATACATTTACGGTGAAAAAAAAAAAAAACTTCACTTCCTATTCCTTGAAGCCAATTTTAGCTGATTTCTAACCAGTGAAGTAATATTTTACTTCAGTATTGTTTACTCGTGTATCTCAATACCAGGCTCCACTCACTCAACAAAAATCCTTGGAGCCTTTAGTGGGCTTTGGGCTCTGTTATTGTGTACTGGGGGTAGAGATTCGCTTCTAGACTGAGCAAAAGAAAGCTCTTGCTCTCCTGAGGTTCAGTCTGGGTTTGCGGATTGAATACCACAGGTTGCTAAAGGTCAGGAGGAAGCGGACATACAATTGTGGTGAATTTCACAGACAAAAAATGTGTATCTCAAAAACTCTTCCACTGTCATTGTCTGTGCACACGTGTGTGTGTGTGTGTGTTTGTGTGTGTGTGTGTGTGTGTGAGACAGAGAGAGAGAGAGAGAGAGAGAGAGGGTGTTAGTTTAGAAGGGAAGGGAACAGCTGAAATGCAAAACAAATACAGGGGGCACAGAGTGGAAAATCCAGGGACACCTTCCTCCCTTAGCTGTTCTAGAAATAGAAATAGAGGTCTGTGTTCTCAGTTAAAAACATGGAAGACAAGAAAAGGCAATTGGAGATGAAGATTCCTCTCAAATGGTAAAAGAGGTTATGATTTTAAAACTCAGCCTTCAATTTAAAGGAGTTAAATGATATACACTGAAATAGAAGACARGCTGTCTTGAGGATTTGGAAAAGCATTTTCTTCTTCCATGCGGGGGGGGGGGGGTTAGAAAGAAAGGCTATTTTTCCTTCCATCCAAACAGGGCAAGAGCACAGTACCTCCAGCCCCAAAGCATGAGAGCGGCTGTCAGTGTAGTGGGCACTTGTGTACATAACATACAAACAAAGTGTATGCTTATCAGGTTCAGATAATTAAGCACTTACCAACTCACTGCTCATTTTTTAAAAGTTTGCCCTAGCAGCCAGATCCACAGTTCATCCACTAGTCTACATGCTTCTCCATTAGTTGGGGACCAGGGCATTCCCAAGGGGACCCCCGCACAGTGCTTGGGAAAGAGCAGAAGCTGTCAGTTGCTTCGGGCTTTGCTCCAMAGAACTGGATGTCAAAACTGCTGTAGGTAGGTGGCAGTGTGGTATGCTGGTTCAACACCCAGCTTTAAATGTACCCAGTTAGCACTGTTAACCATCTCTTTGTGGTCTGGGAGCAAACTGTGAAATCATTCATAGTCTCAACTTCTCATCTGTAAAACAGAGAATAGCTTCCACAGTTCTTTCAAAGATTAAAATAACCAGTGAAAAGAGCCTAGTAAATGTTCTTAATCAAGGTAGTTTTTATTACCTTACATATGAGCACTGACCAAATGAGAGTGATTATCATGACGGCTGACTAGACTAGCTGAAGACTGAGAGGAAATTGAACAAAGCCAACATTCCACTAACTGAAAGGTTACTGGTTCACTCATTTGTCATGGAACACTGAGGTAAATCTAGATCGAGGGTGGCGTGCTCAGATTTCCAAAGACCCATTTCTCTTGTATTATGGAAGTATGCGCTGGTCAACTTTCTGGAGGGGGCAGGGGAAAGACTTGAAAATCCTTATCCCTTTAATGAGCTGCATCTTTGTTAAACCCAGCCTGAAAATCCAGGTAGTGTAGTACACCTGAGGGGGCTTTTGCTTTGGCACAGGGACTTCCTAATTTTGGCATAAGGGACTTCCTAATTTATTCAAACACCAGTGTGCCAGCGCGGTCATCCATCTCCATCAAACATGGTTGGGGTGGTCAGTGTTAATGCTTGTACATCTGGAGAACAAAATGACGTGTTTTCTGCACCCAAGTGGAGGTCAAGTCCTGGCCTTCAAGGAGAAAGAGTCACAGTTTCAAGAGGAAAAATCCATCTGACCTCCAGTCCGAAGCCATTTCCCTTCAAGAGGGCGGGGTCCTAAGAGGGCCACAGAGTGGAGTCCAGCCCCGCGGGCTCACCGAGTATTGGCCTCATACTAGGTGTCCTGCGGTCCCTCTGCGTGTTTCTGAGCTGGTGCCCAAGTCCCGCGGCCGGTAATAGGTGCACTGAACAGGCCAGCACCCCCTCCCGAGACTGTCCCCGCTCTGCAGACCGCCAGCCGGCTCCTCGGCGCCCCTGCCCACCGCCTCTCCGCGCCGCCTGGAGTTCCCGGTGCGGCCGGCGGTGGGCGCGCGCCCCACGAGCCAGAGCCCTGCGCCGGAGGGCGGCCGGCCACCCCGCTGAGCCGGGGGTCCCGCGGCCTGGGCGCCCGCTCGCCTCCCCGCACGCAGCCGGCAGAGGTCGGTGCGGGCTGCGCGCCGCGGGGTCTGGGCGGGGACCCCTCCCCCGCCCCCGCGGCCTGGCGGCGCGCCGGGTCCCCGCCGCAGCGCGGGGAGGAGGAGGGCGCAGAGGCTGGCGGAGTTGGAGACCGACAGCCTCGGCGCGCACAGTTACGGCTGGAGGCCGGCGGCGGCGGGAGGCGGGCCTCTCCCCCGGCGACTGGAGGCGGGACACCTCCCCGGCGGTCCGGGCTCCGGCTCCCCTGCGCCCCCCGCCCGAGGCTGCACACCCGGCCCGGCGCGATCCGCTGGCCCTGCCCGCCCCGCGCGCCGCCGCGGCCGGCCGGGGATCCTCGGCGAGCCGGGGAGGAGCTGCCGCCGCCGCCGCCAGACAGGCTGCGAGTCCCTGGGAAAGTGAAAGGGGGGCGGGGAGCGCGGGGGCGGCCCGGGTGGAAGGTCCCCGGCTCTTAAAGAGACCCGGCGCGCCGCGCCGCGCTCCCCGCCGGCCCGCTGCGCACCCCCGCCGCGGTGGCCCGGCGCCCCTCCCCCGCAGCCCGCAGGCCCGGGTGGCCCCGCGAGCCGCACTGCGGGCGGTCCCCCGCCTCCGCTCCCGAGGGCCGGCCGCAGGTGAGTGCCGACCCGGGGTGGCCGCTGTGGTCGCTGCGGCTGGCTGAAGTTCACCGCCGCGTTGGGGCGGGAGGAGGGCGGCCGAGGGGGGCCGGGACTCCGGACAGGACGCTCCTGGACCGAGACGTCCGCCAGCCTGCGCCGTCTGCGGGGCCGGAGGGAGCGGCCCGGCGCCGCGATCCCTCCCTGCGCGGCGCGTCCCCCCCCCCCCGAGACCTGCGCGAGGTCCGTGAGGCTGTGTCACGGGTGGGCACCGGGGCGTCCCAGGCGCTGGCTGGGGGGACAGCGTGCTCGGCTGCGAGAACCTCGTCCACCCCCACCCTGTGTCCCGCTGTTGCAGGACTCGGGTCCGCCCCGCCCGGAGGCCGGGATGGGCGCGGGGGTGGCTGCCCAAAGTGTCTGCACTCTTAGGCCTCTCGGTGAACCGCTGCAGGCAGGGGGACTGGAGGTCAGCAGGAAGCGGGAAGACCGGGCAGGACCTTGCCAAGGAGTTTGCGGGAAGGAAGTGGGGCGGGGGCGGGCCGCACCCCTCCCCGGGCTCCTGCACCCCGCGCCCCAGCACCCCGCGCTCCCGGCTCCCCAGCCCCTCGGACCCGCCTCAGCGGCGTCTCCCCGGGTCCCCCCGCGCGCGTTGACGTCGTCGCGGGGCCGCCCGGAGCTCCAGGCATTGGCTGGGAAGTCGATTGTCTTGGGCGGCTGCTTTACCCGTCGGCGGGGTCTCGAGTCCCGGAGGAAGCAGGCGAGTGTGGAATTCTCTCCGACCCTCGCGGCGGAATAAACAGGAAGCGAAGAGCACCCAGCCSGGCCCGCACTTGCCTTTGTTGAGGGGTCTGCCCTGCACAGCCCCGAGGAGGCTGCCCCGGACCCCCGCCCGTTGCGCCGCCCCGGGTGGGGCTGGGGGCGCGCCCTGTGAGCAGGTTGGTGGGAGTCGGTGGGCTCTGTTTAGGTCAGTCGCTAAGGTGGCGGGAAGACGTTGGCTTGTTTCGTAAACTTTTTTTTTTTTTTTTAAATTGGTAAAGGAGTGGGCTTCYCGGTGAAGCAGAGACTGCAGGGACCCGTGGTGGGTGGGCGGCACCTGGAGAAGGCGCCTCCTTGAGCACCTGGGCTCCCGGTCACCTGGAGAGCCACTGCCCTGGCGGTCAGGATGGCGAGAAACTCCCTGAAGCGAGTGGGGCTTCCTAGCTTCCAGCCGAGCGGAAGAATGATTGCTGAGCGGCACTGGCCACATAAACTAGCGTAATATTTTTGTTTTCCCCAAAGAATCTTTTAATTAGCTAGAATTGGATCATTTTGCTTTGCTTTGCTTTTCCTCTGTGTCTACTCCCTTCTTTTTTTCCCTCTTCTAATTATTTTGGCATCTTCCCATCCCTGGTCTCCTGAGTTAAGATTTAGTGCTGCTTTCTTGGGGTTCAATTGTGATACATACTTGTTGGTGGCCTACTATGTGCTAGGCATTGTCGGATGTGAGCTGAGATGGTGATCCCTAGAGCTACACTTCGTAAGTTATTTTAGGTAGAGGTGGATGGAGATGGTGAGTAGCATTGTCTCTTAAAAATAGGGGGCTGGGGGTGTAGCTCAGTGGTAGAAGCCTAGTTCATCCCCAGAGACAGACAGACAGACAGACAGACACACACACACACACACACACACACACACACAACATATGGAACTATGGCTGGCATGGGGGTGGATGCCTTCCCCCAGGAAAGGGGCTGGGAAACTCCCTTTCAAAACAGCCTTCTGCACTAGTTTGACTGCTGGCCTGTCCCTGCCCTGGAGCTCCAGGACTGTGTATTGAATTCCCGGAGGTTCTGTCAAGTGTGTGGATAATCTGCCAGTGCATCAGGTCACGCCTGCAGTTAGTCTTTTTCTAGTATTTAAATCGAGCTTCCTGTCATCTGTGAATCTGCCTTTGCACTCTGCACGGTTCTCTTCTTTGTGTTCAATAAAGGATCCTAGTATCAAATTTGAGTCATTACATACACAATGGGTAGACCCGAATGTGACCCACATGCACTTATTGGATGATAATATTTGGTTTCTGTCATCCCCATGAAATGGTATTTGATGGACCTTGCAAARCAGTGCTTTTTAGAACATGGGGGTAAATTCCTCATGATTTTTGAAAGCTCAATTCTTTTAGGAGCTTCGCTTTGCTATTGACATCGAACATACTGTTAGGCATCAGGGCTGAAGCTGTAAATGCCAGTAAGGGGTTTGCTGTAAGGGCATCATAGCTACCTTCCTCTCTTGTTTGAAAAGACTTCTCTAATTTCTCAACATTCTGCTGTTACCCTTGGAAGAGTTTGCTGTCCTTGGCCATGGTTCTAGTTCATGTAGATTTGTATTTATGTTGGAGAAGACTCCTGCCAGCAGGTTTTTAGGGCTGTCTCTTGAATCCTCTTGGGGGCTTGGTTTGCATGACCACAATCCTGCAGTGGAACCCAGCCAGTGCCAGCTGCTTATTAAGGGATTTTGTGCCAATTTGTTGGCACGTCGTTTGAGATTCAACAGTCCTCTCCTCCCCCTCCCCCACCAGAATATATACATACACAGACAAATATTTATTTCCCCCCAACTGCTGACAGTGTTCTAAGAATAGTTTTCTTGCCTGGCACAGGGAGAGCGAGGACCCGTCTGCAGAGGTGTTTACAGTTTGGGGCCATGCTGTAGGCTGGGTTGACTTAGCAGCCTGGCAGAGCAGCCTTGTGGCTCATGGGGCACAGTCTGGTTTTTCTCTGGGCTGCTGGAGGGGTAACTGCCCAACCTGACAAGGCACGAAAGAAAGGGGAGAGTGACTTTTGCTCTTGTGAGTAGTTTCTGGCCAGCCGGAAATAGAGCTCCCTCCGGATCCCTGTGCGTTTACACTGCGAGAAGTTACCTGTGGTGGTGTATAGGAGGCACTCTCTGTGCCATCATGTAAAACCAAAGCCTSTTTGGGGCTCTGGGCAGGAGTGCAGATTGCCCAGATGTTCCCGGAAGCCCTTGGCTTGTTTCTTCTCTTCTTTCTTCTGCAGCTGGGCCTATGGAGTCTCCATGCGGTGTCCGTCCTTCATGGCAAGAATTAATACAAAAGAAGTCATAGCTGTAAAAGAAGAGCAGACCCTTTTTAAAAAATATTTATTTTTTTGATTGTAGGTGGACACAATATCTCCATTTCATTTTTATGCGGTGCCATTATTTTTTTGATGTCAAAATGGCTCTCTACTAACATGGGCTGAGTTAGTGGCAATTGGATCTTGATCTATATGATGATGTCCATGTAAAGTGATTCTTAAGTTTTAAAATGGGAGTGTAAAAGTTCTGCCTACTTTGAAAATGTAGGCCACGAGACCTGCCACTTTTGGGGGGAGAGATTTTTTTTGTTGTGGCCATCGTTTGTTTCTTGTTAGGAAACTCAGAGCAAAAAGCAAGTACCTGTACYCTTAATTGCTTTAGAAATATTGGGTTTAGATTCCTAATTAATATCATTTTTCCCCCTCTGACACAGGAAGACTTGAAAACAATGTCTGTGTTGTCGCATCTCTGTGTGATTTAAGTATGGATTGCTTTTCTTTGAATTCCCACTAAAAATGGTACTTTGGCCTTTTAAGCTGTTTTTCTGAGGACTTTTCTTTCCACCAAGCTGTTTTCCAGCTAGGTCTTGGAAATTACGAAGAACATAGCTATAATTTCTCCCTTGATTGGCAGCTGAGAGCTTTCCCGGACAAAAATAAGGCTGTACTGTGCCAAATGGTTGACTTTTCTAGAATAAAAACTCTAAAGGGTATGCAAAAAGTCCTCTGGTTAATATATTGGCATTCCCAGAACCCACTAAAACTCCGGCAGCCTGCCAGACTGCACTTAATGAGGACGCAGAGTCTGGCTCAAGTCCCCRTGAGCAGAAGGGGGTGGGTGCTGGATGTCCACACCCTTTATTAATTTTTAATGACTGTACTTTTGTTTTGCAAATTTTGCTTAGTGCTCCCCTCACCACTGACCCCTGCTACCACAGACCCCCTCCCTATCTATTTAGATGTTCAAGGTTAAGAATCCTGCTGAGAGATCTCTTCTGTTTTCTTGGTTCTTTTGTTGTTGGTTTTCTATCCACCCCCCCACCCCCACCTTTATTTTTGGAAAAGGAAGAGAGGAAGGGAACACAGAGGATGGCAACTTTTTTTTTTTTTAATGATGCTTTATTGTCTGCTGGAAAAAGAGAAGCATTTATGAAACTTTAAGTTTGGCAGACAGTTTATATGACAGTGCAAGTTGGTGCTTGCCAAGCTCCAGACAGATTGTTAATGTTACATGACAGGGATAAATAAATTACTGCTGTCTGCAACAGCTAGCACTGCAAGTGCTCTGCAGCCCTGGCTGGCGGGCGCTGCTTCCCGGGGCCTGGTGGCTGTGCAGCTGCAGGCAAGGTCTCCGCCTGCTGCCTAGAACGCTGGGACTTGGTTCGGAAATGAAAAGGGTGTGTCTCCTGCTTTTATTTTTGGCTGTGCTGCAGGGCCACAGAATCCACGTAGCAACTCCCAGTCCTTTTATTTGCTAGGCTGCTCCCAGGCCCCAGCTCTGGTCCACACCCACATTCCTCCCGCACACCAGGGAATAGGGTACCTAGTCTTCTTCCCAGACCTACACTTTGTTCTGAGCTGCTCAGAGCCTGAGGTCCCACAGCCTAGTTCCAAACTGTTGACAGTTGTGTTCCTTCTGCAGGTGTACACACTGGGAACAAATTGTCTGCACCAGATAAGTGTGTGCTGCCCTGGGAGGAGGAGGCTGGGTGGCACTCCTTGGGCATAATGTACTTTCATCGTGGGCAATTTGGAGACTCAGCTGGCAGAGTGACAGGTGTAATGAACTTAATGGTCGTGCTCTAGTTGTTAGTGGACACGCTGCTCATGTTACAAAGCCACCTCAKATGTGGGGCCCCTGCCAAATGACTCGCTTTTCTCTTTGCAGACAGGACTCCGGGGCTGGCCTCTTGGAGTGGCACTAAGGTCAGGAATTGGGTGTTG